GGTGATTTTAATATCCATGTTGATAATGAAAATAAATAAAGGTGACTTGACTTGACTTGACTCACTAACACTCACACACACACTAACACTCACTCACACTAACAGTCACTCACACTCACTAACAGTCACTCACACTAACAGTCACTCACACTCACACACACACACTAACACTCACTCACACAACAGTCACTCACATTCACACACACTAACACTCACACACACCAACACTCACTCACACTAACAGTCACTCACATTCACACACACTAACACTCACTCACTCACACACACACACACACACTAACACTCACTCACACTCACACACACTAACACTCACACACACACACTAACACTTACTCACACTCACTCACACACACACTAACACACACACACACACTCACTCACTCACTCACTCACTCACACTTGGCTCACACTAAAACTCATTAATGCTAACACTCACATCCACCAACAGTCGCTCACACTAACAGTTTAAAGGTTTTAACTCTCACGCTTAAAGTTGAAAGGTTTTAAACCCATTCATATAGAGTGATATTGTCCTGGGTGGTTGCTAGGGTGTTGCTATGCAGTTGCATGATAGGGTCATTTATGGGTTTGAAAGTGCTATATAAATCAAATGTAGGTGAGTTAAGGTTACTACAAATCGTCATTCTGTCTTCATTTACTCACCTAATCATGTTGTTCAAACCCTTTCTTCAGTAAAACATAATATTTTAAAGAATGTTGGAAGAACCAAACAACATTGGACCCCACTGCCTTAACAGAGACATTTCTCATAACATCTTTTTTTGTGTTCAACAGAAGAAATACATGAGGGTGAGTAAATGAAGACAGAATGATCAGTTTTGGTGGACTATCGCTTGAAATAATAAATGATTAAAAATGCTTTAAAAGAATAGCACTCTATCTGTTCTAACGAAAGGCGCTGCAGAGTCCGGTGTGATGTTTGTAATTGTGCTGCTGCTGAGACGGCTGGAGGTGATGGAGGTTAATTATGTGTTCATCTCTGTCATCTGCCTCACTCCTGTGAATGAGCCGGCTGCGTTTGGGCCGTTTGGAGGTGTTAGCATTAGCACTGTATGACAGCAGATATATTTCAGCGGCTGCATCTCTGGTCTGTCGTGTGGCGATAAGCTGTAATAGATCTGACGGTGGCGCTGCATTGAGCGCAGTACGGCCTCGTCGCAGATAAGCCCAGTATTAACCTTGAGCGTAATGAAGTGTGACGTAATTAATGACTCTGGCCTCGGCTGCTGCGCCACTGACTGTACTGACTGTGTTTCCTGCGTACAGTACAGCCGGCCAATGAGCACGCAGCGTCCGCCGGCCCGATCCGCGCATGCGAAAACTCCAGCCGCCTCGACGTGTCCATTCAGACGCCGCTGACGCGTCTGCTATATCTGCATTGACGTCATGGAGATACTACTTCCTGTCTCAGTATTTCACAAGCACACTGTAAAACACTACAGTAGCAACATGTTTACTTGTTAACTGTGATATTTAAGTCAGTTTTGTTTGTATAGTGCTTTTCACAACACACACATTTCAAAGCAGCTTTACTGAAAATCATGATGCTAATGTTTATAATAACTTATAGTCACATTTAGCAGATTACAGACGGGGATAGTTTACATTTAATGACAAAATCTTTTTTTTTTTGAGATTGGTGTTATTTTAGTATCATTGATTTTTTTTAATATTTTGAATTAGTTTATATTTTCGTTTTACTTTTAGTTATAGTTTTGCAATTTTGTTGTGTATTTTTATTTAATTTTAGTAGTTTAGCTTATACATACATACATATACACATAGTTTTTTTGTTCATTTTTATTTCAGTTTTAGTTTTAGTTATTTTAGTACATCAAGTTAAACTAAATTAAAATGAGAAATGTTGCATTGGCAACTAACTGAAATAAAAATATTTTAATATTTAATTTTATTTCAGTTAAGATTATTTTATTTCAAGTAACAAAAATGTTTTTTAATGGTTTGAATTTTAGTTTCAGTTTTAGTTAACTATAATAACCTTGGCTGAGATTTGCTGTATAGTATATATTGCTTTACGTTAGTTTACTTTATGTATGTGGATAAAGTTGGACATAACTTTATATAACGAGCTAAGAAGGTTTAATAAGGTCCAATAAAGTTTAATAAGATAATGCATTTCATTTTATTGTGGCATTATTGTATCATTTACAATGCAAACAAATTTAAGTAGAAAACACGTCATTTACTGTAATTTACTGCCAGTCAAACTGATTTTAACTTAAATTTAACGAGGTTTTTATAGTCCATATTCTACAATAAGATGAGAAAGAAACATCAAACATCAGGGTTTTTAATCTTTGTTAATAATTGATCTATTTATGGACAGAATAATTCTGTTTTTATAGCAGCCATGAGAATGAGCATAAGATCATGATCTGATTTAGGAAACTTTTCCACAAATGAAGGATGAGAGGAATATCTCATTCAGTTCAGACTG